CTCTCTCTCTCTCTCTCTCCGGCTTTTGCCGAAGAGTCAGGTGCGGAAACCAGATCGGAGCCAAGTTTTGGGAAGTCATCGCCGATGAGCACGGCATCTGGGTGCGGAAGAGTTACGCAGGATCTTAAATGTTGGGCCTAGGGCTTGGTTTGAGAGGAGCGGTGCATTTACTTTATTGTTGGCCCCTTTTCTGGCAACCCATACCCCAAGCATCCCCAAGTCTTACAACCCTAGGCCCTAGACAGTACTCTGGTGGTCTCTGCCTTCTTGTAGGAGCCCCCAAATCCCTAAGCACACTGACGGAAACCCTAGGAACCTAGACCCTACATCCCTGAGCCTGAACCCCTAAAATTCTGAAGCCCGAGACATCCCTGTTCCCAAACATCACTCTAAAGTCAGCCACATCTTTGAACCACCGGAAAATAGAAAAGAACACATAATGTCCCACAAAAGCCCATGCGGCCTGGTAAACAAATCCTTCTAGAAACCACAAAGCCCAAAATCTCCTAACCCAGAGAGCCTGATACCCCTTAATTGAGGAATATACCTTAAATTATAGGGCCCTTGATATTATGAGTTAAGGTGTATTCCTTACTTGAGGGGTATTGGGCTCTCTGGGTATAAAGAAACGCCCTACGCCCCAAGCCCTCCTGGTCTACACACTTGAAGTCCTCAGTGGCTTCACTGGTCTCGTGTGCTCGAACCGGAGCTTCCGAGACCACGCCGGGTCTAAGACAGCCCGCCGACACCACCTGTGAGGCTCTTCGTTACATGCTTGCAGGACTCGTTTGCGCCTCATCAGTGGTACGGTTGATGATGTAAATCCTGAATTGCCTGAAGGACCCTAAGCTATGGGATATTCCTTATTATGGGCAATGCAGGATTTTTATCATCCGCATGGTTACTGCCCAAAGTGGTTGCTCAATGCCCACCGCAGACACCTCACGCAGATTGCCCAAGCGGGGAGAGTCGAAACCCTGATCCCTACAAGCCCTTGAAGAGGATGCTATTCAGGGTTTAGGGTTTAGGGTATCTTGTGCAACTCAGACTTTCAAATCTGGATGGTTTTCAATGTCAAGTCCTCTCCTAGCCCACTGTTCTCGGAGCTACCGGGCAATGCGGGCTTTGCCCTCGCTAGGTAGGAGGAAAAGCAAACCCTAACGGCCCTACAATGTTACAAGCTCTATAGTCACCGGAAACCCTCAAGCCATAGCCGTCTTTACTTCGTTTCACGCCGGCTCGCACCTATGGATCCTCGCCTTGCATGTCCGAGTTGTGAGAGCCTAAACCCCCTATTAACCCCTAAACCCTCAAGCCTAAACCCTAAACCCTAAACCCCCAACAAACCCCCATAACCCCTAAACCCTAAACCCTCAAGCCTGACTAAATTACCAGACCCCAGGCATTGACCCAACCGGCACGTACCATGGGGACTCCGATCTCCAGCTGGAGCGCCCCTTTGGCTTGATCGCTGCGTGGGGCTCCTTTTGGCCTTCCTTTGAGGCTTCCTTTAAGGGTTCCTTTAAAGGGGCTCCTTTAAAAGGGCTCCCTTAAGGGTGAGCTTTTTCTCAACTTTTTGGGGGTTCCTTGGAGGGTTTTTGGGGAGGATGGGCTTTTGGTGGGTGTAGTTTTTTTTATCTTTACCGGAATTGGTGCAGGGTTTTTATGGGGCTCTGAAGGGTTTAGGGCCGAAGGGTGAAGCCCATAGCCGGAACTCACGGGCAGTATTTCCCTGCCGGAAGCTACGTGCGTGGTCCCGAGCTTCCTTACAGTTTTCCCAACGTTCAGGGGCTGTTGTCAGGCCCCTGTCGTGAACTGATATGACGGGGCTGAGGTTGAGACCCACATGCCTGCCCGTTTTTGTCATCTGCGGATCATACGGATCTCCACACTTCCTCCTCACCTGAACCCTAACTCGATCATCCGGCATCCCTTGCATGCCGACACTGGCTTTTCTTTCGGGCTTTGGATTTGGATCTCGTGTGTAGGCACCCTGGTTGAGTTTCAGATATCTTCGTCGTAAAGTCATGACATGCGAGCCTGTCAATAGGGCTTAGGAGTTTAGGATTTCTTCCACGTTAGGGTAGACCCCAAACTCACTCACATCCCCCAAGCCCTCAAACCCTCCAAACGCCAAACCTCGCCGAACCCCCTCAAGCTCTTAGCCTTGACATGGGGCCCCAAAGCAGAGTGCTGAAAACGCCGCTGTGCCGAGGCATCAACGTCTATTTCAATGAGGCGGGGGGAAACACGTTCCTATGCCCGAGCATTTGCTCCAGCCGCTCCTGCCGCTAACCCTCTACGGAGCTAGGTTGCGTGCAGTTCACTCACACACGTCTATTTCAATGAGGCGACGGGTGGACGCTACGTGCCTCGTGCCGTCTTGATGGACCTTGAGCCAGGCGGGGCTCGGTACTTTTGGGTTTAGTTTAAGGGTTTTGCAGGGTTTCTACTAATGACTTTTTGAAAGGGTTTGGGCTCTTAGTAGCAGTGTATTATAGGACTTATTTTATAACGGATCCCTTAAGAGAGTCATTCTAAGGGACCCTGTATGGATTCTCATTTTCGGGCTGAACTGCCTTTCCTTCCAAAGACTCGTTCTGCGAGCCCAGCTGACTCGAGGAACCATGGACTCTGTCCGCGCCGGGCCTTTCGGTCAGCTCTTCCGTCCCGACAACTTCGTCTTCGGACAGACAGGACAGAGCACACCAGTGCCTCAGACACCCAGACGAAGTATGGGGTGGTGTGTGCTACGGTTGATGGTATAAATCCTGCACTACCTCAAGGACCCTAAACCATGGGAATCATGGTACAGTCCTTATGGGTAATGCAGGATTTATATCATCAACCCTATGGTGTTCGAGCCGATGACAGTACTTCTTGGCAGGAGCTGGCAACAACTGGGCCAAGGGTCGGGCGCCCGGTCGCAGGCGTTTTCTGCAAGCTGCGCCGGGTGTGTCGTGCTTGGCAGAACTTGAGGTCATTACACTGAAGCCCCGAGCTTAGCTTCAGCAGTTCCTGATCCGAAGGGATGTAGGATTTCGGGGTGCATGTCGGGAGATCTGAGGGTGCGGAACTCATTGACTCGGTGCTCGACGTCGTGCGGAAGGAGGCGGAAGGCGGAATTCATCCCCAACGTCTTGGGATGCTTCCCATTAGTCGGCTTGAGTTCAATGATACGGCAAAGAGACCATGTTATTGCATGCCTCACAGATCGTGTGTTCATGTTCTCGGGTAGCGTTCAAGCATCGCCTGTTTATGGTAGACGATAAGCTTCAGACAGAAGGGACTCTCGAAGCTAGATTCGGCCCCTCACAGCTAGAAACCTCGATGCATAAACTAAGCCTAAGTCCTTCGCAGGCTGCGACTGCCTCCAGGGCTTTCAGCTCTGCCACTCTCTTGGTGGCGGCACCGGGGCAGGCATGGGAACACTTCTCATCTCAAAGGTGCGCGAGGAGTCGCCCGGTTGCACTTGTGATGTCAGTTCTTGCGGTTTAGGGTTTAGGGAGCATTTCCCAGCTGATCAGCAGAGTCTGAGTTCAATAAAAAGGTTTAGGGAGAGCCAACGCGAATGATGGTTACGATGATGATGGTGATGGTAGTGGTGCTGAGGACGGCGACGAGGATGGTGGGTATCGTGTGGACATGGCTTTTCAGAAGAAGATATGGTTTTAAGACGTTTTCGACGCTGACGAGAATGCACACCGGGACGGTGGCGATGATGATTTTGAATGAAGATGGCGTTTATGACCACGACATTGCTGCTGTCGTTACTGCTGTTGCTACTGCTGCTGCTGCTTGCTTGCTTGCTTGCTTGCTTGCTTGCTTGCTTGCTTGCTTGCTTGCTTGCTTGCTTGCTTGCTTGCTTGCTTGCTTGCTTGTGTGTGTGTGTGCGTGTGTTGGTTGGTTGGTTGTTGGTTGTTGGGGTTGTGGTTGTGGTTGTCGTTCTGTTTGCTGTTGTCGTTGTTGTCGTGATGTCTGTTCGTGAACGCGGTGGTTCGGGAAGTTCGGGGCTGATGAATATTGTATTGGCATCCGAATTGTGATGTTCTGTTTCGTGCGATCAGCAGTGCTGAGGTACCCTGATCGCATTATGGAAACATTCTCAGTGATCCCTTCGCCCAAAGTGTCGGATACCGTGGTCGAGCCATACAATGCAGTGTTGAGCTTCCATCAGCTTGTGGAGAACTCGGATGAGTCCTTCCTGCTGGACAACGAGGCTTTGTACGACATCTGCTTCAGAATCCGCACCGCATGTAGCCTCAACCCTATATAGGCAAAAACCCAGATCTCGTGCAAGAACACATACAGAAAGTGTAACATGCGATGCAAAGCAGGCCAGGAGAGAGTAAAAGAGCTCATGACCACCGTATGTAATTTCTTGTAGAAGCCCTTATCCAGTCCTTCCTTTCTCCTTTCTTGCTACCAAAGTAACCCTTAGAGTTGAACAATCACACCGACCGAGGAACTCTGAAGCTTACGACACCTACCTACGGCGACCTGAACCATTTGGTCTCCGCTGCCATGAGCGGCGTGACATGCTGCCTGCGCTTCCCAGGGCAGCTGAACTGCGACCTGCGCAAGCTCCTGGGCTCTCAAGGAGTCATGCTAAACCTCAAGCTATGTCGAAGTTACACTGCGCGGCGATGTCTTCTCTGTTTCTTGCTGTAGCTGGCTGCTTTGTACTGCCTACAATTCGCATGCCTTGCATCTGCTGATGTCCGACTGCGAGCCGTGTGGGACCTCATCTGGCTTGTCCGAGTTGTGAGAGAGAGGAGCGAAGACGATGTACGTACCGAGCCGGGCACGTCAAAGCCATAGTCAGAGCTTTTGATCACCTGCAAGCGCCTTGCAGACACGGGCCCAGGATTGCGGTGAACCTGGTGCCCTTCCCTCGCCTGCACTTCTTCATGACCGGCTTCGCTCCCTTGACCTCCCGTGGCTCTCAGCAGTACCGTGCCCTGACGGTGCCGGAGTTGACCCAGCAGATGCTCCTAGTATGCGGACAGAGAGATTGTGTTGAACGTGTCATTCTTTTGGAAATTTCTGTGCTGTGTCTCTCCTGATAGTAGCGAAGTCTGCGATTGGTAGCCATAGCTCGTCTCCCTAGCCGGCCCTAGCCCGAAGCTCTGAACCCAACATGCGTGGCTGCAGCTGTTTCGGATACCACGGAGACTGTAGCAACTTGCCGTTGGAGATGGCGTTGCATTGGGACCAGACACCAGAGAGGCAGGGTCTCTATGACCCAACATATGAGTCGGATGCGTGCGGAGTCGGTGCCGTCATGGACATGGGCAACTAGGCAGGTTATTGGCCCCTTCTGATTTTCCATTTCGTGGGGGTTCTGAATGCGGATACTTCTCAGAGGCTTTTTAAAAAACTTTTTAACTTTTTAAACCGCCCAACCTAGGCAAGAAACCCTCCCGCAAGACGCTCACGGATGCCCGAGACATGGTGGTTCGCATGACGCACCGCGGCGCCAAGCAAGCGCACGAAGATGACGGAGACGGCGTGGGGATCATGATCTCTATCCCGGACGAATACTACCGAACCTGCTGCACCTTTACCTTGCCTGAAGCTGGCTGCTACGGCGTCGGAAACCTCTTCATGCCGCCCCAGGCTTACTTCTTGTTGGAACATTTTAGGGGTCCAATAATCAAAGCATGACACCAATCAGTATGGGGTGCAGTATTTCTGGCCTCCTGTAATATCAGGGTCCCCTATTTTCTGAAACTACCACATCGACTGAAGGGGAGTTTTTCCTCGTTTCCTCCAAACCCCGAAGCCCTACCAGACCATGAGAGGCCCTAAACTCTATGAACACGAAGCGCACACGCAAATTGAGCAGTGTACCAATCCACCGATAAGCCGAAAAACCCTACCCTAAACCCTGCAAGCCCTATAAAGACGAAGCCGTAGGCCCTTGAGCTCTACACCTGAAACCCCCACAGAGCCCCATGCCTTGTGGGCTCCCAGGAGGAGAAGCGCGAGGATTCCAAGAAGCTCGTCGAGCGCATGGCGCGCAAGTTGGGCCTCCAGGTGGGGGGCCGTGCTATATTGGGGACCTAAAGAGGGACCCTAATTTTAGAGAACTGCCCATATGGTGTCTCGGGATTGGCGTTGGGGGTTTAGGTGACATATAGGAGTCTTTGAATACTTAGTACTGGCATTTCCTAGGCTCACTGCTATGAAAATCTTCAAGCACGAAGCGTGGCTGCTTGTATAAAGCCTCAGCACACAAGGGCAGGAGGCTGGACCCAAAAGCCCGAAAGGCTTGCGAGCGAAATCGGCTTACAAACAGACCTTCCCCCCTGCAAGCAACAACGGGTTTAGGGTTTAGGGTGGCGTAAGTGCCTGAAGAGTTATCACTATGCCAGGGCCCCTCTATTACTGTGCAAGGATGAAGTTGACCAGCCCCTAGTCAAGATACCATTCCATCCCAGAACATCTGCATGCTGAACCCTATGCCGGAAACCCTACACCCTATACTCTAAACCCTAAACCCTAAACCCTATATATGCAAGGTGGGAGGCAAAAAACCCTATATATGTATGTATGTATGTATATATATATAGATATAGATAGATAGATATTTATAAACCCTCTATGAAAGGTCATCGGCTGGAGGGCGCCGCTACCCGTCAATTCCCTGGTTCTGGGCCCGTACGCCCGGACGACGGAGCCCTTCATCGCTCCTTGTTGAGTTTTCTTCTTCTTTTTAGGGTTCAGGGTTTAGGGCTTAGGTTTTAGGGTTCAGGGTGAGTGTGTATCTATGTGTATATATAAAGGCAGATAGATAGAGTTTGGGATTGACTAGCTGTTTTGTTTTTTGGCCCGCTCTTGTTTTGGTCGCGGGTTTAGAACTCTAGGGCCCAATACGTTCAGGGTTCAGTTTCTGAACCTTGACTGTTGGGTTCGTGTTTTTTGGAGTGGAAAGCCCAGAATTTAGGCCTATAGTCCTAAATTCTGGGCTTATAAACCCTAAAGTCACCTCTGAGGTTCCTTGCCTGCCGCTTGTGGGAGTGAGGGTTTAGGGTTTAGGGTTTTAGACAGGATTTAGGGTATCGAGTGCCTGGGAGAGAGAGAGAGAGAGAGAGAGAGAGGGTTTGGGGTCTAGGGTTTAGGGTTTAGGAGTCGCAAGCCACCTGGACGACTGAGGCTCAGGTGTACGTGACACTTGCAGAGGACGATGCGCCAGACTCCGCCGCAGAGGAGAAGCTCAGCAAGTCATCACCCGGCAAGAAAACAGGCCCAGGGCTCAAGATTCACGTTGAGGGTTGTAGATTTATGAAGAAGCCATAACAATTGCAAGTATTGCTCCTCTGGGGTCCTTCTTGTAAGTATAGTTATAGTACAACCCACATTCTAATTACTAAGGCTCCTTGATACGCTGCCTGATAGCACAATTCTGGAGTGAAAGGGCTTTCTGCGATGATGCGCGCAGATTGGGCCTCAACTCAGAGTGGCATAGCATCTTAGGTGCATAATTCGTGCCCTAAACCCCAAACACCAAAGAAACACCAAGCCCGAAACTCTGAACCCTGACTAAACCCAAAGTGGCGCATAGGATGTGATACTATGAGTTGCAGCACTTTAGCGCGACTTTGGATTGTGCTCTATCTGCCCTAGCCCTGGCCTGCAAAGCAATCCAAATTCCAGTCCCGGGAACGGAATATATGGTTTTGAATAATGATTCATAGCAAATCATAGCATATCCCCCTTCAGTACCTAGATTCTGGTAACTATACTGAATTCTACTTCATGTCACCCGAAATCCCAGTCTAGCCATTCCCTTCGCTTTCGAGCCCTGAATCCATGACCCACCTGAGCCTTGAATCCAACTGCGAAAGATTCCTAAACCCTGCTGTAAACCTTAAACCCTAAACCCAAACCCTAAACCCTGTAAGCC